TTTTGATACTGTCCCTTCAGTAGCATAAGCCACCGCATAGTCTCCGCATTTAGACAGTGTCTCCTGAGCCCCAATACATCCCTGGCATTGCTGAACTCGCGTTCAATCCCTACCTCCGCTGATGGAATTGGCAGGTAATCTCGGGCTGCCTTTGCCATGAGTGGAAAGCTAAATACATTCGCCTTCCACCATTTGAGAACCCATTCCTCGTCTGCATCGTCAATCATATGGTGGGACCAACTCACCGGTGGCGCGTCTAGATATCTATCAATGTCTGAAAGAAGCGTCCGCTGTGATGGCTGTACTTTTCGCAGCGTCCTCCACATAGTCTCTGACATTCCCGGCGGGCGATCCACTACACACGACATGGACAACTCCTGCGGATACTCCCTCTTTAGGAACTCCCGCACTTGAGAGATGATCAGTCCCGCATCTTGCTCGCTCATCTGCGATCCAATCAAAGACGATTTAATACGCGGGTCTAGGACGGAAGCCACGTAGTAAAGAAGATTGGTGTCCATCTTCCTCGCAAACTTGTTCATCTTTTGGATTCCTCTTTCCACCGCATCCCGGATCTCAGTATCCACACCTTCAAAATCACCTTCGGCTTTTTGAACCTCGTCAAGGAGGTCGTCTAGACTCCAATAGATAGGCAAGCTCTCAACAATCGTGGGACAAGATTTTGATACGGAGTTGGTGTGATCCCAGAATGGCTTAAGAACCTTCGCTACTTGTTGAAGAATCGACCATTCGTTCTCGTTTAGTTGAAGGGCGTGAACTTCTGGATGCATCCGAACAAATTGTCCAAGTTCCTTCTGTAGCCGAAGGGCGTCCGCTATCATGATATAGGTTGAGTTCCATCGAGTGTCAACATCGTAGCCCACTTGCTTGGCTGGTGACACATCTTTCCAATTTTGGCGGCGCTGTGGACTGCGGGCAACCCATAGGGTCAGCAGCCGGATCTTCATGATTGCTCCCTTCGTGCTGTGGGCAGAGGTGAATGTTGGGCTACTTTGTGTGGCCATGTCGTCCAGTATAACCTTCGCCTCTCGAGCTGAGCCGGCCCTCAGGGAAGCAAGTACGTCCCTGCAAATGAGATTTATGACGTGGGCAAGGCAAGGAATGAAGCTCTGCCGTCCACGAAACCGCATAAGAGGTCTGATGCGAAATTGGTCGTCTTTATCGTCATAGTTCTTGAGAAGCTCGGCGTGAAGACTGTCGCAGAGAGTTCCATTGTTGGCAGCATTATCCCCCGTAATTGTGAGGAGCTTTGGCGCGACGTCTAGTTCCTCGAGCATTCTAATCACAATTTCCGCAAGGTTCTCCCCAGAGTGCGGTCCACATATGTCAGTAAACTCCAGAAGCTCTTCCCGCTTCTCAAACTCGGGTGAGATCCAATGGCCAATGATGCCCATGATCGCTATCTGATTCTCCGATGTCCAAACATCAAGAGACAGCGCAAGCGTGCGACTACTACTGGCTAATTCTTCTTTCACGCAAGTCCGGTTTTTGCGAAATTCCTCCTTGATCCTGTTGAAGAGAGTGTCGGCCGTCTTGATGGGTAATATAGCCCCTGTCGCTTCAAAAAGTGCCCTAAATGCCGGATGCTCCACTACCGTAAACGGCTGTCTCGTTTGGACAACCCATTGTATCAGCATTTGTTCAAGGCCCGCCCTTTCTTTTGCAGGTGTCAAAAAACTGTCCAGGGTCGTTCCGATAGTTGACGATGACGTGATGTCTGATCCGGAACTGATGCGGTGCTTAGCCTGGAGATGGGCCAACAAATTCGAAGTGGAGCCATAGCGTGCCGAATCCCTGGATGACCAACTGCACTGCCTACAGACTAAGAGCCGATCCTTCTTTGGTGGCCCACCCTTTCGACGCCAGGTGTTGTCTAGCTTTGTGATCCAGAAATGCTCGAGGGTCCAGCTCGAATATGACTTGGCTTTTCGTCTCTTGTAAGTCGGTGGGCTACTCTGACTGCTAGTCAACCCTGATAGCGTGGGATCTAGCGGTGCGGGCGAAGACCTGGGAATGGGTAAGGACAGCACGGATGGGGACGTCTCTTCGCCTTCTGTAAACTCGGATGGTGCTGGTGAGCAGGGGCTCTCTATTTCACGAATATTTCCTTCCCATGGCTCAGGGAGTAGGGAGGGTGTGCCATTGTTCAGAGCATTGTAGTCGCGACGCGGAAGACCACGCGTCTTTCGCACAAATGGGTTAGGTGAGGATGCCATTCTGTATTTGCTCAGTGTTAGTAGTCCAAGTGGTACCTGGGAGCGAGGCGGGGCACACCTTTAGTATCACTCGACAATACTTGATAGCATGGCGGGTCGGAAATGAACGGTGAGAATGAAACAATGATGGGGAAACACTAGCTATGCTTTCGCCTGATGCGAATCCCAGTAAAGTGGAAAGTTGATAGGTCTTTTCTTTACACGCGGCGGTTTCTCACTCGCGACTCTCATGGTAAACAATCTGTAACCTGCATGAGAAGTGAGTTAAGGTGGCATGATAAACGCGTTTTTACGTGCCAATAGTCATGGTTATAATAAATCTAAACTTTGGAGTAGATCGAGTGGGAACAAGAGAAGTTATGGTAGTCGATTTAACTAGAGCAGCAAAGATGTGGAAAGACGACTTGTAGATATATATAATTTCGCTCGACTTTCTGTAGCAACCGTTGGTCACCAAAACTAGACATTTACCTATAAAAAATCACGAAAAATAATGACGCAGAATATATAGAGCTTACCGAGCCCTACAATATAGGGTATATACTTCAGAACATGGATTGCATGGGAAATATTTTCTACTATGCTTGACCGAGGCCGTGATCGCACTTGAAATACAAGTTGGCTAGTGGAAACGTGTTTTTCTGTAATACAAAAACCGGGGAAACGGAAGATCCATTAATGCGCGCAAAATGCATGATATGAATAATATGAATGCGAATATGAATAATGCGCTTATTCGCGCGAATACGATATTCATTTATTCATATTCGCGGGGTGCGAATATGAATATGCCCTATATTCGCATTCATTTATTCCTTTCGGAGCCCTACAAAAACCTGGTCTGAGATGTTGAGGCACCCACATCGTGATGGATTTATACACGCTGCCTCAGTGGAAGTCAAAGGCCTTGAATCGAAATCGACCTTTAGAGAAGTGCAGAAACCGAATGACAAGGGACTTCAAATCCTTCCGTTGACGTGGGTCTTTACCTACAAATTTGACAGTGACGGATACTTGGTCAAGTATAAGGCCAGAATCTGTGTCCGCGGAGATCTCCAGAAGTTGTCGACCGAGGAAAAGTATTCTGCTACACTAGCAGTGCGAACCGCGCGGGCTATCTTTGCCTTTGCCGCGAATTTTGACCTAGATATTCGTCAGTATGATGCTGTTAATGCATTTCTCAACGGCAAGCTTGAGGATGACGAGGAGGTCTATGTTGAGCTCCCACCTGGTATGTTTCCTAAAGGAAGAAGGTGTTGGAAGCTTCAGAGGGCCCTGTATGGCCTTCGCAAATCGCCAAGGATGTGGCAGAGAGAAGCATCAAGGGTTTTGACTGCACTCGGATTCAAGGTAGTGCAGGAAGATCTCTGCATGTTCGTCCGGAATAGCATTATTGTCGTATTTTATGTTGATGACATTCTTATTGTGAGCCCACGAGATGCACGAGAGGAGGCAGATGATGTTGCCAAAGGCCTCAGCGATGCCTGGGAGCTGCGTTCTATGGGTGAAGCACAGTGGTTTTTAGGCATTCGTATCCTTCGGGACCGCCAAAAGGCATACTCTGGCTATGCCAGGATGCTTATATCTCAGCAATGGCGCACCGATATCATTTGACCCAGGAACGGCGCATTGATACTCCTCCAGTCTCCATTGCCACATTGAAACCGTATAACGGCACTGCCTCGGATGCGCAAAAACACGAATACATGAGCAAGGTTGGATCTGCCCAATTCCCGGCAATTGTCACTCGCCCAGATGCGGCCAAGGCCACTGCCCATCTTGCTCAATTCCTTGCAAATCCTTCGCCAGAGCATATTCATGCTATCAATTCTGTCATCGTCTTTCTCTATCATACGAGGATGAGGGCCATTTGCTTCAAGAAGCAGTCAATCCCTCCTGAACCATCCGTTCAATTCTTCAGTGATGCATCATTCGGTGATAATCCAGATCGCAAATCATCTGCTGGATATATCTGTATGATATTTGGAGGACCTGTCGATTGGAAGGCCTCGAAACAGAAGACTGTTACCACAAGCACTACTGAAGCAGAATTATTGGCTTTGTCAGAAGCAGGCAAATCTCTTTTCACGTGGAAGCGCCTTTTCGACGCTATTAAGTTCAATCCTGGTCACCCTGTCGCTTTGCAATGTGATAATCAGCAAACTATAGGGCTTTTGACGAAGGAATTGCCTCAATTGCACACCGAGCTGCGACACATTGACATTCACCAGCATTGGCTACGTCAAGAGGTACAAGCTGGACGAATCCCTATCGAATGGGTAAAGACTTCTGAGATGGTCGCAGATGGTCTTACGAAGCTCCTTCCTCGCCAGAAGCACGTTGAATTTGTGAAGTTGCTTGGTATGGAAGAGATTGGTCATCTTGTTGAAGAGTTCAATTGAGCTCGTCCATTCATTTGTACAGCAAAATCCCCATACAGTAGGATCTTGCTGAGGGGGTGTGTCAGGAAAATGGTGATCAGCATCGTATTGACCCAAACGGTACCTCTGGGATTCTAGAGGATTCGATACCAGGTATTCTCGAGGCTATTTTAACCCCCTCGATCCCAGTAGATAGGAGACAGGAATCAACACTCTTTTGATCTCATCATTTTTGGGTAGTTCCCCTTTTTGATTCCGTTGCGCCAATCGCCTAGTACATCCATTGTATTTCCCTAGCTATACAGGATATTCCTGTTATTATCTCTACCGCTCTCACTCCGACGCCAACACATAGTCAAAATATACGTGTCACGCAGGGACAATGGACGAGCGAGGGACAAGTGCAGAGTACGGTGGGTACTCCTAGTAGGACCGGCGATGTGGTTGATTCTACTGAACGTTCTGTCGAAGAAACTGGAGATCAATTTCGAAATCAAGGAGAGACTGAGATTCCTATAAGACAACAGGAGCCGGAATCACCGTCGGGCTCCGGAGTCACTGATACGCATAAGGCAAAAGTACCAAAGTTGTTAGAATTTCTGACGAGTCCTACCGCGTCCTCCCATAATAGTGTCGCTTTAATGGAGAGGGGAGAGGTACCACCGAGCGCTGGTGATGGAGATCATCCGAGAGAGGAGGCAGTATGGAATACCCTCAATGCTAACGGTACCATGACAAGGAGTGGCACACAGGCCATTCTACCAGGTACGCAAGATAACGTGGAGCGAATGCCATCGACAATCAATTCAAGAGCAGTGTCAAGCACCACGCCGGGTGTTCTAGAGTATCTATCGAATGAGGAAAGGGTGAGATTCCAAGAGAGCGTAAATCAAATATGTCAGATCTTGAGTCGATCCACAGCCGTTCCTGCAGTTCAAGGGTTAGATTTCAACTCCCTTGGAGGTCTCTGTCAAGTCCTAGGGCCAGACAGGCCTAACATAGGGGACGATGAAAGCCCAAATATCCCAAGTGCGCCCAATGCGGCAGAAAAGCCTCTTCCCTTGTCCCACTCGAATGAGTCACGGTCCCATTTACCTAGGTTGAGTGACGGACAGGAGCTATCCCCAGACCCAGCGAGCACTACAGAACTTCCATCCCACTTCCAACCAGAGCCGGAGTCTTCGCCGGATGTCCCGATGCCAGATGCGCATCATACGAACGCACCACCGCGTTTGGAATATCCGATGAGCCTTCTCGCATCATCCCATCATAGCGACGCTAGCATGGTGGTAATACCCAGCGTTGGCACCGGGTATCATCCTCCAGAAGACGCAGCCGCCGTCGACTCTGACGGAAACGTGACAATGGGTGGCACAGAGGCCCTTTCAACGGGTCCGCAAGGTGATGACGAGCGATATTCACAGGCCCACGGTGAAGTCAGTCTAACGAGCAAGATGACCAGTGTATCTGGACAAGAGCCTGCTCTATTGGCGCAATCAGACAATTCACAGTTGAAAGGCAATAACGAATCACAATCCACTTTATCAAGGCCGAGCGAAGGACAGGCGCTTCCACAAGGGTCAGAACGCACTACAGACATTGCATCTTATGTACAGCAGGAGCCTAGCACCCCAGAGTCCTATCATACACCAGTTACACCAGTTACGTGGAGGCAGATAGATTATCCCATGACCTCTTCTCCGCCTTCGGGAAATGAAGTTGCCATCAGAGGGCAAGGAGATTTAGCACTGAGCCCAAGCGCGGAGACTGGTGCCATGGAAGACGCAGCAGGAATGATGGATCCCAGTGGTAACCAAATAGTAGGTGGTGAACTGGTTCCGTGGGTAGGTCAAGATCACAACGCGGAAGGATCTTCTCGACGACGGCTCCCGATCAAATTCGGCAGGTATGGAAGAAACGGTTCGAAATGGAGAAGATTCCATTTAGCCCAGAACACACGCAACTTAAAAGTGAAATCGTTTTCTAAAAAACTGAGCACTACACAAGAAGACAAGAAGTTGGTATCACGAAACGATAAGTCCGTTGAACAGCAGGGGATAAAGCTTGCCCTTGCTAATAGCCGTCCACGTTTGATACACGGTAAAATGGGTAGAACGGTTGTAAGAAAAATGAGCACAGTTTCGAAATCACAGGCCGTACAGCGTAACAACAGAAGATCCGGGCGGATTGCTGGTCGCGATAGTCAGTGGTCTACTTCGAGGGCTCTCACCCTCAGAAACAGAGCCAGCAATGATCCGCACTCCTTCACAGTGACAGTGGTTCCCAGTTCCACGAGGGATTTCACGTCAATTCTCCCTTTCCCATTCGGAGAGGAACCCCCTTCTCTCCCCATTTCCTTGTCCACCTTGGCATGGCCCGCTCACTCGGTCGATGAGGTCACAAGCCTAAGCGATAGCGGAGATCGCAATTGCGACAACCAATCAACGGACGGAACGAACATTCATTCACCTAGACCTTTAGTCCCGGATACCGAAAGTCTCAGCACCATAGAAGGCAAACGACATCATCCAATCTGGGAAGATGATGGGAAAGAAGGTGAATCGCGGAAGCAATGGCTAAGCTCCCGGGAACTGGAGTATACAGGTGATATGGAAACAGATGATGTTGACCCAGGAATCGCTATACGCACGGAAGGGTTTGTTCCTGGTTCCAGGGCTACCTATTCCAATGGATCGAATGATTCACTGCCTATGCAGGCAGGCGCCCTGTCGCAAACCCCCAATAATACCCCCAAGCAGCCAGATTCCAACCAAGCCAGGCCAACTAGGCCTCACTCCGTTCAGCGCAGTGATGCCTCACCACTGAGTGCTACAAAAAGCGATAGAGGGGTGACTGCCCCATATGAATCAACTTCCCAGACCTCAGCCCTGGCCGACGTCCAAGGAAATTCCTCTACCCACCTGGAAGCCGCCCAGGAAGCAACCCCTACCAAGCAGTCTCCATGCCAAACCAGTATTGTGAGCCCACCAACCGCCTCTGAAGTAATCGAGGAGAACCTTTCACCGCCACGTCCCATTACCGACCCTCCAACAAATGATAAGGGAAAGGCCGCAGTCCGCAACTTGAGTCCTCCACCGCTTGCCATGGAAGAAGCGGCAGCCCATCATCTCTATCCGTTCAACGATGTGGTGCTAGTTAATACACATCCTCAAGGCGATCCCGGAACGCAAGACTACCCGCTTGACGGCTCGAGCTTGGCCTTGAGGGAGAAGCGCTCCCTGCCTTGCGCAGCGGGTGATACGTTCGTGGACCCCCTTAATGAGTCACATAACCATAACCCTGGCAATGGGTCCCTCCGTATGATCGAAGAAGGTGAAAACACGCAGGATTATTTAGTGCAACGGGAGCAAAGTCGTTCTGGGGCTCACGAGCCTTGGCAAAGTCGTCTCTCGGCGATGACGAAGCCCACATTGCCACGACTGGATATTAGCCATAGCTCGGGTAACGATACGCCCCGCTCAGTATCACATTATTCCCACACTCGGAAATCCGGGGGACAGACTCCTGATTTCGAAGGGTGCACCCATAGCCCTGCGCCCACTTTAACACGTGATCAACCATACCCTCATGTCGTAGAGGACCAAGCCCTTCCAAATCAGATGACCATGGAGAACAACGAACCAACGACACCTCATAGTATTCGATGGAAGAGCCAATTAGGACTGTTCGAAGACAAAGAACCGCCTGGAATTGAAGGACCAAACCATGCCAACATCCCTGAACGCCCCAGAGAGGGCACCGTCGATGGTCTATCAGTGGCGGGAACCCTCGAGACACTGAATGAGGAGAATGACGTACTGAATAGGACTTTGAAGCCCATCTCCCAGCCTTCTGCTGCGACAGAGGCCATGAATACTTCGCTCGATAACCGGAACGTGGATTCTCACTGTCCCATTCCTAAGAGCCCAAGCCCACCCCGGGAGCTCGGCAGAAGCAATCCGTATACACATCAAGCTAGTGCTGAGAGCGAAGGTGCTTTACTAGTCACTAGCTTGTCGCCTATTGCTCAGGACCAAGAACACAACCCAGAGCAGGAGACGAACGATACGGGGCCACCGGGAACGCCTTCGGTAGAGCACGTAGTAGGAAGTCTTGCTAGCGGCTTGAACCAAGGTAATACCGTTCTTCACAAACGGGTGGATAGTAGCCAGGAGCTTTGTACGCCTATTTCAACGCAGCAAACGACAGTGTATTCTCAGGTGGAAGGTACTAAACCTCTCGGAACTAGCGGTCCCGTTGAATCCATCGACACAGAGACTGAACATGGGGCTACGGGGGCTACGGCATCTCATACTTCCTCTAGAAACCAAGAAGGACAGCAAGCCAACGACGGGACCCTCGATGCACACCCACCAGTTACCACGCCGCAGTCTGCGCACACATTTGATCCGCGCTATCCAATTATGTCCGTAAATGAGACACCAATCCACCACACGGCGATGAATGCATCCAACGGGATAGTACGAGATAATGACACCATTGGCGTCGCGCAGGTCAATGAACAGCCTGAGCCCATGGAAGGCTTAGTCGGTGCCCTGGCCGAGCCGTATAGTACAGGAAATCTGCGAACAGATTCTGACGACTCGTTCAATCAGCAAATGCCGCAAATGCTGCAAAACCCCGAGGCCACTATACATATGCCTCGCGCGGGTCCTGGGCCCATTCCGAGGTCGTACTCGAGTCTAAGATCGAAGGTTAGCCCCCAAAGTCTAAACCAAGACCGCAATCCAGGCCCAAGAGACCAGAGCCTCGCGACAGGGACGGGGCATAAGCGCCGTCCCGATAGCGACGAACAAGAACGCAATGAACAAGAACGCGACGAACAAGAACGGGACGAACAAGAGCAAGAGTTTATTACATCGGAGGAAAATGTGCCTAACAAAAAACGAAGAATAGAGCACGAATGCGACATCTTGAGAATAGAGCACGAATGCGACATCTTGAAGGTAGAGGTTCAAGGCGGGGTCATCACCCGTACTGGCCGAGTGACAACTCGACGTCTGAAGGACGACGCTGAAATACAGCAGCTTATTAAATCGCTTGAGGAGGACCATTATAAATACATCTACTCTCACAGCCAAAGGCCGAAATTTATACCGGAGTGGGGTAATAAGGGAACTAAGTTGGCATTGTTCCGTAACAATGGGCTATTACTCCTTTCGAGAAACCCCATCACAAGAAAGACAGAGGCGAGCTTTAACCTTGTAAAGCAAGCGATAGATGATCAACGTGAACGTGAAGAGCGCGATCAACGCCGAAAAAGAAGAAGTCTCGAGAAAAAAAAACTAAGTCATGAGCGAAAGGTGGCACACGCATCGGAAGCCGGCGTGACCCCGAGACAATAGCAGTGAGCGCGTTTGGCGCGTCAGAAAGCTGTGGGAAAGTTCCGGATATCCTGCCCAGGGAGATCGGACGTCTCCCTATCTCGATTCTGCGGCTCTTGTCCTAATACCTGCTATACCGTTGTGCTACGTGATCATCATACGGCCCGTAAGGACCAAGCCGCATTAGCTCCGGGGCTCGTTTGGTGGACCTCGCGACGTTGTCCCGCGTCTACCGTTGGAGCTATTCTTTCAAGTAACGCAAAGGGACGTTGCCATGAGGCGGGGAAGGCTACGTAAGAACGATGTATCAGAGACTTATGAACGAAGCTGCAAAACCTAGTAATATTACCATAGTAAGATGACTGCAGTAATATGACTAGAGTAATATGACTAGAGTAATATGACCACAGTAATATCGCTAGACAGGTTATATAACTACAGTGATATTACTAGAGTAATATGACTAAATGGTTAGATAACTACAGTGATATGACTAGGGTCGCATAACCAGACAAGTAATATTACCATAGTCATATGACTACGCCCGTCAAATGACTAACATGGTAATATGACTATAGTGAAATACCCAACCTGGTTATACAACGATGGTCATAATACTAGGTCCGTAATATGACTATAGTCATATCACTAGATCCGTCATATGACTATGGTTTTATAACCAGGGTAATATTACTAAGGTAGTCATATAACTGCCCTAGTCATTCGGCTGTAGTCGTTTAACCATAGTCATATTACCGTATGCCAACTCAGAATTACGGCTAGGGAGTTCAAGGTTAGTGTGTCTTTATTCTATTTCTTCTATTTATTCTGGAAGATGAAACCATCAGAAAGCTCTCGCAACGATGCCGAATATCGAGCTCGGTAGCAAGATGTGTAAGTAAACCCTAGGTTCTAAGGGACGGAAAACTTCAGAAAACGATCGGGGCTCATAGCCGCAAACACCGCTGCTCGTAAACAACCGTCTCCAGGAACTTCTCAAGTTCAGTAGAGTTTATTTTTTAATGTCGCCATCGATGATCATGTGTGCTTCGGGAATACGCTGTGCGAAAGAATCTACGAGAAAATTATTGCTAGAACGATATGATCCATAATTAGCACGTACAACTAGGGTCTGTTTTATTTTTAATTTTCTTTGTTTTCCGTTTTGTTTCCTTTCGGGCATCTGACTACAGCTACACCCTATTTTTAACCCAATTAATTTTATGCGAAAAACCTGTGCTTATTACAGCGCGGCTCAGAATTACCGCTGTATGCATATGGTACATTAGCTTCGCGCGTAAACATCTGACCGTAAGCCGAGACGTATTTATCAAAGCACCCTTCATCGATAATGAGGCGTACCTCGAGACACACCAAGGTCCCAAAACGTCTCGACGTTGAGTTACTAAACGCTAAGTTGCTAGATGCGATTCGGAGCGAAGATCACCATACAGCACACGCACTACTCGATGAAGGAGCTGATGTCGACACGTGCAACGAGGAAATTGGCTGGTATCTTCACCACAAAGCTTTCCAAACCGATTCTTCGTCACCCAACGACTGCACTTATCCGGGGCCAAATAGTAAAGACGATTTGGGTGACGACCCATTCTGTCCTCAGTTTGGGATTGGTATTACACCGCTGCAGATTGCGATACTGTTAGGCAATCAGACCTTGGTAAACCTACTGCTAGAGAACAAGGCCAACGTACATCCAGCCCATGAGTATAGCCCTCTGGTAACAGCTTCATGGCTTGGGTTTGGAGGTATAGTTACTCTTCTCCTCCGTAAAGGAGCCGATATCAACGTCGGTGATGATAACGTTGGAATGCCACTTCAAGCCGCGGCAGCAAAGGGCCACATCGAAATCGTCAATCTTCTATTGGAAAACGGGGCAGATATTGATGAAACAAGTGACCCCTACGGAACCGCCCTCACTGCGGCCTCCTGGCACAACCATATCGACATTGTGAAATTGCTTCTAGCCAACTTGGCCAGCGTGAACTCCCTATACGGCGTAAGCGACGACTTCAGGAGTCCGCTCGCTGCCGCCGCAGAAAGAGGAAACCTACAAGTTGTCGAGTTGTTATTGGCAAAGGATGCGAGTGATTACGTGGAAGAAAATACTCATGACAGCGCGATATGGCTTGCATGTATGAGTAGGACGAATCTTAGGGAGCCTATCCTCCACTTGCTTTTTGAAAGAGTCATCAATACTAATGTTGACTGGAGCGAGTTGTATGAAGCAATCACTGTGGCTGCAAAGTTAGGTAAAGGCTATAGATCATATTTGGAGAGGCTTCTGGACAGCCAACCCCTCCTTGACGCTATTTTTGCGGACGAGGGACCTGAATGGGCTACAGAAGCTATATTTCGAGAGGTTAAGCGAGGGTATCGTCGTGGTCGTCTCTGTGTGTCCTTATCATGTCGCTCGTGTGATAGAGGTAATCGATCATCGAGACTTCGATGCAAGTGTCAACTGAGTTAGTCTCGCTGAATGGCGAAGCTATAGGACAAAGATGTGTCACACATAGCCAATGGTCCTCTAAATTCGAACATGGTAAGAGCCTGGTCACAAAGTTAAGTCACCGTAGGTGGCTCAAATGATAAACTAAAGAGTAATGGGAAAGTTGCGATCACTTTATTGTCAGTGATTTGGCCGAAACTTTAACCTTGGGATACGGGCCCAGCTTGGGCTATCTCCTGCTTCTCACGTTCGACAACATCTAATTTAGGTTAATAATACAGTGTGACTTTGTAGAGCGAGAAGTAAAATCCTATTGGTGCACGTCCCACTTCCTTCTATTCGTAGTCCAAAAATAAGTTCCCCTTAGGCGCTAGCCCCACCCCTTTATCCGCAAGGCACATTTAGACATTCCACTGTGCTCATTCTTATCTATGAGAATCATTTATGGGGAGTGAGAGGTATTTCTTTGTGCAGTATCCCATATATTGCATGATTCTCTTTATCTTTTTAGGCATGGTCAGATGAATCCTAAGCCTTATCCCACGAGGGTGCCTGCAGTATCATACGCACGACGGTCGTTGTTCTCATCTCGTAAGTGTCAATATAAGCCGAGAAGCAACGCTTACTCACAATCAGCGCGTCGCGAGCAGCTCTAGCCATTTTGCTAAAGTTCTTGGTGCTCCAAAGATTGTACTTTGACTCTCCAGTTCTACCAGTCCACGTGATCAGGCATTAGCCTAAGAGATAACACGGGCGCGCGGTCAGACCTGAAATGCAACCAGCATTGAATTCTATATGAGAGGATATGCTGCAGTCTATATATAGTAATAACCATCGTTTACGTCGTCGTGTTACAGCTTCACCTTTATTACAATACATATGTCATGAAGAATAATACCTCAGCCAGTATTTCTATCTTAAGTCAATCCTTAAAGCCATTCCTTGCGACAAAGTGGACATGCGTTCCGGCACATCAGCCATTCGCTTATGCATGTTTCGTGAAATTGATGTCCACATGGACCGACCGCCTCAATTGCACCCAGAGTCATTGTGTCGAGACATAACGTATTCGGCATGCGAGCTGGCCAGGTAAGCGAGCTGGCCACCCACCAATTATTACTAGCATTAAATTGTACATTTCAGCACCACAACATCTTATAATTGAAACTGAAGCTATTCAGACCTCTCTGGGCACCTATTTCTCTTATGTCCTACATTTTTACAAAGGCTACACCGCTGCCTTGCTCTCTGAGGAGGCTGAGTAGGTGTTGGCGAAGACCCTCCTTCTCTAGCTGATCCTGCTTCATCAGCTATTTCTTGTCCTGAAACCATCGATAAAGCCTCCAAAACAGTCATGCCACCTTCGTGAGCTATTCGCTTCCTTGTACGCTGCTTCTTTCGGGTAGTCTTCGCATTGGCAGCCCGTAATTCGCTATTTTCCTGACGCATAATAGTAGCGCCATGGATAGCTAAATGGCAGCCTTTTACGATCTGCTCAAAGGCTGCCTCTACCCGCGATGGGTTGTCTTGTAGCATTTTCTTAATAGATGATGCTTGTCGCCGTACATCCTTCGCTGTATACGGAGTTTTCGGGGTAAAATTGAGGCTCGAATCGCTTCCACGGCTCGGAGGAGGTGGGGTATGTAGGCGTATAGAAAGCTTCGAAACCACGCGATCCGGGTTAAAAGGGGCGATACCAGCAGCTGCGAAGCTATTCAGAATAGTGTCTTGCTTAAATGCTTCATTTCGAGCAGCAGGATAAGCCGTAAGAAAGTCGTTTTTATCGATTCGACAGACACCAAGCTTTACCTGCGACTCAACTAGCTTCCCGTATGCCCGCTTTAACACCCCAAAACAGCCGATATCGAGAGGCTGTAAGATATGAGATGAATGCGCCGGCATACAGATCGGTATAATCCTATTTTTTGAGCAGATATCGTCGAACTTAGGCGTAAGATGGCTGCCGTGGCCGTCGAGGACTAGGAGACGATACCTTCCCTTCGTCCGGCTAGTAGTCAATGGAATAAAGTGCTTTTGAAGCCATGCGAGGCCTATTTCATCGGTTGTCCATCCATTCTTGCTGACTTCGAAGCGCCAATCCCACGGCAAGTTGGTATCCTTAAACCAGGCCTCCATAAAGACCTTGCCCTTAAAGATAACGCATGGCGGTAGCGCCCACCCTGCCGCGCTTATAGCTTCAATTGCAGTCACCCATTCGCGGTTTCCAGGTTGTAAAACAGCTCTCCGACCGTAGGTTCTTCTCGTCACAACCTTTGCGGTAGCTGTAAGACCGAGGGCGAAGCCGGTTTCATCGAAATTGTAGATATCATCGTCTAGAATACCGTACTTCTCGATCGTAGACCTCACGAAGTTAAACCACGTTGAAATCGCCTTTTCGTCTTCGCATTGAGCTCGCCGGTAGTCGTAAGCCCTAGAGAATCGAGTAGAGAGCTCAGGATATCGATTGACGAAGTTTTTGACCCGTTTTTCGCCGACCGTAATGGGTGGAGTAGATCCACGCGCTTCCAGTAGTAAATTCGCTACCTCTCGTACAGTACTCGGCCGAGGAGCAGCTCCACGATCATCTAGTGAGATGATCCAATTATATAGCGATTCCTCCTCGAAAACAGTCAATTTATGGCTGTTAGCGCGTGTTTCGGCGCGGTAGGTGATACCACTAAGACGCGCCGAGAGCGTAGAGCGGGGGACATCAAAAAGCTCTGCAGCCTTGCGTAAAGAGCTAATTTCTTGTTTCTGAATGGCTTCAATAGCTAACAAGTTCCTACCCTCTTGCTCAGTACGTTTTTGAGAGCTTTGAGAGCGAATTGGTGGCATGGTGGGTGGTTGAATAAAGACGGTCTAATTACATGAGGTGTTTTTGGGTGGGTGGCCAGCTCGCTTACCCGGCCAGCTCGCATGCCGAATACGTTATACAATTATCTTCAACAACCACCGCCCGCTTAGCTAAGCGGCCAACAACATCTGTCGGAACGTGGTCGTTACAGTACGGACTAGTACGGGCATAGCCAATTGAGTACTTGAGAGTGTGTTTTTTATATACTATAGAAAGTGCAGAATAAATAGGGGATGAGCTTAGTAAGGTCGTTGAGAGCCTTAACGATCATCAGGCAGAGGGGGTGCTGAATATTCCTCGGGCGCACTAGTAACATTTCGACCCTCTTTTGTTGACAACATCCTCTCGGGAAAGTCCGCCCTCGAAAGGTGTCCTCTGAATTTGGGCTTGTTCTTCCGCGGAGAACGCGGGCATAGCGATTCCGAGCTCTGATCTCCAGTACGATTGAGCTTGTGTCATAACGCGGCCAGCAAGAACGAAGGATCCGTCCCGGAAGAGGAACCTGGCTTGTTCCGTCAATACCTGCACTTTCCAAGTTTCCGAGACCTCAGGAAGGGTCCGTCGCGCGAGCTGCTGGGCCTTTGCCACAGCGTCGCGAGCAGCTCTGGCGTTTCCTAAGGCGGCTTGACTGCTCGCCTCGCTGTACAGTGCTCGCAGTTGATCCGTGTTGTTTTGCAAATGATCCATGTTGTGTCTATGAGACAGCTAATTAGGGTTCAAACGGTTTTAAATGTTTCTCAAAGATAAGAATGAGCACAGTGGAATGTCTAAATGTGTCTTAGGGATAAAGGGGCGGGGCTAGTCCTAAGGGAAATGCCCTTAGGCACCAAAACGGAAAACAAAGAAAACTAAAAATAAAACGGACCCTAGTTCTACGTACTAATTATAGATCCTATCGTTCTACTTGCAAAGTGGGGGCGGAAAGAAGGCTATTTTTAGGCGCGCCATCTTGTTTGGATCCCCGAAAAGAGCGCATTCAAGCAGTGGTGACTATACAGTACGTCGGGGCCAACGTAGAATCCTTGTTTTGATATCCGCTCATTGATAGGCATCTTCGTCAGTGCTAGAAGGTCGGAGTCTTGGTTGAGCAGTGATACTTCAGAGTCTTCTAAGCGAAAATATCGACCTATAGAAACAAACAGGAGGTGTACTTTGATCGGCGATATATTGAGTACCTGTCTGCAATGAGCTCATTCCAGTTCTCATCAATCTTGGGGTTAGGAAGCTCGGCATACTGTAGTATACCATTGATCTCTGAACAAGGCAGCGCAGCCTGTCCGGGGGTTATAGTTCCGTCATAGGTACACAGCAGCTCCGAGATCCTCAAGATGAGAAAGTGTCTATTTGATTTCAAACGTCGAAAAAGCTATTGAAACAGCGTAAAATACTCTGGTATAAGGATCCGACCCACCGGGCTCTGTAAGCTTGACGTTCCACCAAAGTACTTATGTACTCCGTGATAACTTCGTAGTGTGTCAAAGCATACACTGTGTGAGGCTTCGGATAGTTTAAGCTTAAGATAGAAATACTGACTGAGGCATTCTTCTTGATGACGTACGTATTGTAATTGATAAAAATGAGGCTGTAGCAGGACGACGTAAACGATGATTATTACACTAGATAGACTGCGGCATATCCTCTCCACTGGATATTAGGCTCAATACCATATCCGCAAATTGGGGATAACATATGAGGATATTTTGCGGATATCCGCACTAGTATAAATCATCTACTTATGAGGTAGTTATGTGCCTCTTATACAGCTTATCAATTTATTTTTCAGAACAAAAGACAGATGTTCGGTCCTGACCATAATATCGATTATTTATCCTATTGCTCAATGAAATATTTATCTCCCTTATCATTGCTTGTAGCATCAATCTTATTTTCAAATCTTATTGGAGGACACAGGTGAGTCTTTTTGTTCCATGGTACTTTACCATAAAAATAATATTGAAATGGGGATGGCTCGATGGCAGTCTGATATAGCAGACGGGTCGATATCAATAGAAAGAAGACAACCAACCACTCCCATGCCCACCGTAGGCATAGGGAGGAGTCTCAGGAAGCGACTAAAGTTCTGATCTTGAAGCTATATCATGAATGAAGAACCTGGTGGAAAAACTGTAGTTATATTGATGATGCTAGGATGCTCTCTCTCGAAGGAGAAGACTGCAAGAAAGCTTCCTGAAGCATTTGTGATACCTCAGGCCACGAATACGCTACTGTCACGGGTTCCACCACTACAATATTTACTCTATGCAGCGGTACATGATATTCTAGGTGAACTAAGTATGGATGATTAAAGTCGCTGTTTCTCGGTCAAATCTAATAAGCCCGACATGAAAGAAATTGTCCGAGCTATCTTCAAGATATATTAAGTTTTTAAAGTATATTTTTTTCACAACAGTATGAAAAAATCCCGGTCGGAAGCTCTGATGTTGCGGACTTGGTGATTTCATTTTCTCTGAATGCTCGATTATCCGCACTAGTGATTAGTAACAGCCAATCATCGCTATTGAAAGTTCGAGGTATGTCGAAAACGCGCCCGCGAGTCATGACATACCCCTGATATTCTCAGCCCATCCTATATGTACGTTTCTCTCTCTTTCTTTTAAACCCTGTTTCTAGGTAACCCGTGATCAAGTACAATACTAACAGGCATCTCAGTCCCAGTACTCCTACGCTGATTCAGATCTAGGTGTGAGTTCTGACCTACTTCATTCAGATGACATTTCCAATCTTATTGGCAGCCAGACTCTATTGACCTCTGTGTCACAAGTTTCATCTCTGACTGCACCTCCCTCGCTTCTTCGTGTTTGCCTCCCTCTTCAGCAGTACTGGGTCCTCTATTCCTCTAAGCCTAGTAGCGAGATGGATGAATCCCGGAAGAGCTTTGTAAGCTGGTGGCTAACTACGGAGTTTGGATCAAAGCCCGATATACAAGACCCTATCCGTTGGGACGGGGAAAAACATCTGGGATAACTTCAATCAGGTTGCGCACGAGAAGACAGGCAAGCCAAAGGTTATGTGTACAACATGTCTCTGTACCCTTGTTCATCCAAGATATCGCCGTCCTGAGTCATCGCCAATGAATGCACATATGAAGGCAGGCCCCTGTACTCGGAAGCCTACCCAGAGGGTTGATCAACTGCTAAAACAGATGGTATGTTATTCTTATATAATCTAGACTTCATCTCTGCCACTGACCGACCCTTCCGAATCATTGAGCATACGCTGTTCAAGGATATAGTGGAGGTTATTCAGCAAGCCCCAAGCAAGGTCAATATCCCATCTCCGCGTGGTATGCGGCGTTATCTTGACTCTACAGTCAAAAGTAACCGGAAGGAGATTCTTAGAAAGCTTCCAGATAGGAGTCGCCCTTCAATGGCCCTTGATTGCTGGACATCATCCTTGCAGTAAGCATTCATGGCTATCACAGGTTACTTCCTTGATCAGGATTGGAATTATTGTGAAGTTCTTTTTGTGTTCCAGCATCTTTATAGAGCACATGCTGGTGAGAATCTAAGTAAAACTGTGATTCAGCTACTAGTTACCAAGGTTTAAAAATTCTCTAACCTTGCTAAGAAGGCTAGATATCACCTAATCAGCATATGTTTACAAAGCCATGATGGCGATAGAACTAGACTGCAACATCGCCCATAGACGGGCCTTGGGCCTCACCCTGCCGCCAATGGACTGGCATTGTCGCAGTCCAGATAGATCATGCTTGTTAGATATAAATCTGAAATTTATCACATTTACTGTGTTGCGGGTTGTGGCGCTAGTTTAGGAAATACTCTATAATGTTAGATACCATACTAGTAAGCGGAAAGATAAATAACTCAATACAGAAAATAAAAAATCTTAGTACAAAAGGGAAAAATAAGCAAGATATTAAAACAGAAAGAAACCGGAGAGGTAAAAAAAGAAATAGGATATAGAGAGTAGATAAAAAGTGAAATACGAAAAGTAATAACGTAAAGCGGAAAGAAAACTGACAAAGTCGAAATCGGACAATTACAAGGCCAGGGGCCTAAAGTGAACCGCGAAAGTCTCCACCACCAGATCGCCAACCCTTGTCCGACTCCGTAAGACGCCCTACACTGTCTTAGACGCTATCAGCAGAATGAATTACACAAGTGCTCCAAGAATAATTCAGGCTTATTCTTGCACACCCTATTAGATCGCACCGACATTGCTCGTAATTAGTGCTAGTACCTGAAAGTAGATTATATCCGGCTGTTAATACGTCAAAGAAGCCTCTAATAGTAGGAATAGCGTTGTACTTGTCCCGCGGCTACCATTTGCGCATGCTCACTTGTTATACTATCCACCTACCGTGGGGACCGGAGTAGCCGTGCCGAAAAAGGCCCTTAGGCCCGATTCTGTCATCAAAGTCCAAATCGTACCAGTGAGCTATTTTTGTTTCCTTGGAGCCCCCTGGTCGCACTACACATTCTAATAACTAATTGCAGAATTCTATACATGATCTTCTCAATTATCTGTTCTCTGCTGAGAACAGTCACATTCAGGATATACCGCCTCGCCTTCATCGGCATCAAGAAAAAAAAAAAAAAAAAAATGTCAGCCGCCCAAGTGGAAAACGGCATGGCAAAAGCCCTGGCATGGGCTGTAAAGGGAGAGCCTCGTCACGCTGGCTGGGCCCTCCAGAAGGCCCAGAAGGCCGCCGCCGAAGCTGGCCTGTCCGAGCCTTCCCTACCCACTGACGTTGTCAAGAAAATGTGGAAGGTCGTTAGCAAGAAAAGCATGGCAAAAGCCCTGGCATCCGCGAGAGAGGGAGACCCTGATAGGGCGCGCGAATTTGAGGAGGAGGCCCAGAATGCCGCCGCCGAAGCTGGTCTGTCCGAGCCTTCCCTATCGACCCGCCGTGTCAAGAAAATGTACACGGTCGCTAAGAAAAAAAGAATGGCAGAAGCATGTGCATCCGCGAGAGAGGGAGACCCTGATAGGGCGCGCGAATTTGAGGAGGAGGCCCAGAATGCCGCCGCTGAAGCCGGTCTGTCCAAGCCTTACCTATCCGCCGACGTTGTCAAGCAAATGTACACGGTCGCTAAGGAAAAAGAATGGCAGAAGCACGGACATACGCGGCAGAGGGAAACCTTCGTATGGCGCGCCAGCTCGAGGAGGAGGCCCAGGAGGCCGCCGCCGAGGCCGGTCTGTCCAAGCCTTCCCTATCCACTGAAACTATCAAGCAAATGTGCACGGTCGCTGAGGAAAAAGCATAGCAGAAGCCATGGACTGGGCCGCAAAGGGAGAGCCTCGTTTCGCGGGCTGGGCCCTCGAGAGGGCCCAGACGGCCGCCGCCGAGGCCGGCCTTTCCAAGTATTCCTTATCCACTGACGTTGTCAAGGAAATGTGGAAGGTCGTTATGGAAAAAAGCATGGCAAAGGCCCTGGTAGCCGCAGCAGAGGAATATCCTGATAGGGCGCGCAACTTTGAGAAGGAGGCCCAGGAGGCCGCCGCTAAAGCCGGTCTGTCCATGCCTTCCCTACCCACTAATGTTGTCCAGCAAATGTGCACGGTCGCTAAGGAAAAACACATGGCAAAAGCCCTCGCATGCGCGGCAGAGGGAGAGCCTGATAGGGCGCGCAACTTTGAGAAGGCGGCCCAGGAGGCCGCCGCCGAGGCCGGTCTGCCCACGCCTTACCTATCCACCGCAACTACCAAATAAATGCGAGGCCGTCGTTTTATGAAGGGATGGCCAATGTCCTTGCATATTACTTCGACGCAGCGAGAAGGACAGTGTGTATATGTGTGTAGCCGACTTTCTCTGTTAACTGCTCCCCAGGAAAACCCCGTGGGATGCCTTACAAAAAGAGCCCCGTAGAACAAGACACATAGCTTAGTCTATTTCAATAAATACAAAGGACAGCGTAATGCAATCAAAATCCCAGCATAGGCAGTACCCCTCCATAACGTAATTCACCAGTGAGCTGCGCACCACTAGTGAGCTGCGCAGTCCGGAACACATAGTAAATGCGATATATGTTACATTTATATCTTAACAACCGCACACTTGTTCTATCTAGTTACCTACCGATAACAATCGATAAGACTTATTAGTACTGTATATCAATTTCAAGGACATCGAAAGGCTAGGTGATTATCATTTCCAAATTTACCGAAAATTACGAACGCAAAAGCTCGATATTAATATATTTTGATAATTATGACAGAGAAACTCCTTAAGCTCAGGTAATTTGCTAGACACTACATAGAGAGTATTTAGGCTCAAGGAAAGATTCCTGTAGACTAGGGTTGTTGAGATATTAAGTTGTAATTTATCGCATTTACTATGTGTTCTGGACTGCGCAGCTCACTAGTGGTGCGCAGCTCACTGGTGAACTACGTTACCCTCTGCTATTTGATTTGTAACAATCCGTGTGTAACTCCCCTCGCAGGATCCAACCGCTTTCACGCTTTTTAACCCCCGAGCTGTTTCTGTCTCTTGCCACTTCTTTTCCGTAGTCGACTTTGCACGTTGCTGATTTCTTCTCATTGTTCCCTGAAGTAGGTCTTGGTTCTGCTCAAAAGAAGAAGCAAGCATTCCGCAAACGCCGTTTCTGTCGAACTCGGAACCTTCTGATGGAAGCTACCTAGCTCGCCTAGTCCATGAGTATCCTCTACGACTTTGCTAGGTAGGAGGTTCAGATTGACTGCAGCAGCAATAACATACATAGCCTAGGAATCCGTGGCCTAAGAGGTGCTTTAATAGCTTGATCTGACTCCCGAACCCTTGACTTTGAGAGTAAAATTCGCAGTCGCAGTCTAGAATGGATAGCAATGGAGTTGCGAATGGTAGTTGCTGTGAGCACTGATGTACGTTAGGTAGCTGACTCTCCTTTTTGAATGACTTTACTCTTACTGAGGCAGTTTTGTGTATCTAAAACGACAGTACACCCCGGATGACTGCACTGGTGGAGTTCCGCGAGAGGGTTCTGAGTAGCAGACGATCAGCCCCCGTGGCCGATAATTGCGCCGTAGCCAAAGAAAACTCCACTGCGGAATAGACCAAGCATATCCTGGCTCTAAGGGGCAGTAAGGCATAAGGGCATAACAATTCTTTTCCTCCGATAGCATTGACTTATAAATAGGCGTGGAACGGTAGTCTTTCCGTCGAAAAAAACTTTTATCAGCACCTATTTGGCGGGAGGCAATTCTGCGGTCGACAGGGGCCCGCTAGGTTCACCAAAGAGCCAGCCAGTTCGGTATTTTCCGAGCTCTTTTTCAGGCTGATATATTTGCATCATATTCTCATCGAAATACAACTGCCACGCAATCTCACCCTCTGCGCACCATTCTGGCGTGCATAGAGCACGTTCATTGCAACATAGAAGTCCACCGTTCGTCCCATCAGCTGCTTTAGTCCGCACTGGTCATAATAGTCATTCCAGGACCACAGTCTCTTTACTGTCTCCAGAGCGTATCGGGAGATCTTAAACAAGGTCTCCATTTCACCCAAGATCAGCCAGATCCTCAACACGTCGGTCGTCTCCGCGCGACCACGCCACCAGTCGACATTTTTCCAGCACCGAGCAGAGCGCCGGCGTTTCGTTTTTTTCTGCAGTTCTTCGTAGGCAGCGATTCCTTCCTCCCTTCGGATGACGTTTCCAGCCCAGTCCGTGGAATAGCTCCCGGTCGAAAGTCTGGCAGAGGAAATGGGGGCTTATCAGCCCCGAAATTGCGAGTCTTAGCCTTTCGTGTCTCACCTCTAACTTGATAGAAGAGATCATTTAGACGCTGGATAGCTGTTTCGCTCACAACGTCATCGTCGTCTTCGATGCTCGTCCGCACGTTGATGGCTGGCGAGTACTTGCGGCCTTCCGTGGTGGAGAACTCGGTCAACGCCCGGGCGAATGCAACGGTGAAATATATGATCTGCTTTCCCTGGTTTTATTCAGCGACGCCAGAAATACTTGTGCCTGCCCGCTCTTCTCTGTTCAAAGTTGGCCGCTAACGTATGCCACGGAAGGGAGTGTGCCTGATAGGCCATGGCGCTCGGGGTAAAAAATATGTGGTAGGATGTTTCGAATGTCCCACTTCATAAAGTATAACGTATTTCCCAAGCGAGCGCCGCACCCAAGCGAGCGCCGCACCCACGCGTCATTCTCGCGTTTTATACAACTCTCTCTTTTTAAACCCCCACCATGCCACCCATTCCTTCTGAATCAGCCGAAAAACGTATAGAACAAGAGGGCAGGATCCTCTTAGCAATTGAAGCTCGAAAAAATGGTAAAAAAAGCTCTTTGCGTCAATTGGCACGCGATTTCGACGTACCCGACCGTACGCTCCGTCGCCGCCTAGTAGGCGTCAAAAGTCGCGAAGAAACCCGCGCCAACAGCCATAAATTGACCATTTTGGAAGAGGAGACGCTTTATAATTGGATTGTCTCATTGGATATACGCGGAGCAGCTCCTCGGCCGAATACTATACGAGAGGCGGCCAATTTACTGCTTGAGGGCCGTGGAATTCAACCAGCTAAAACAGTCGGTAATAACTAGGTCTACAATTACATCTAACGGCATCCCGGCCTATCTACTCGGTTCTCACGATCCTACGATTACCGGCGAGCTCAATGCGAAGACGTGAAGATAGTCACAACGTGGTTTAACTTCCTTCAAAGTACGATCATGAAATACGGCATCCTTGAGGAGGATATCTACAATTTCGAAGAGACTAGCTTCGCTCTCGGCCTTACAGCTACTACAAAAGTTGTGACGAGGACCTCCTACGGTCGGAGATCCCTTTTACAGCCTAGAAATAGCGAATAGGTGACGACAATTGAAGCAATAGGCGCGTCGGGGTACGCGTTACCGCCATACGTTATTTTTAAGGGCAAGGTCTTTATGAAGGCATAGTTTAGCGATAAAGACCTACCAGCGACCTAGCTTTTTGCGGTTAGTGAAAAGGGATGGATTACGGATTCTATAAGCCTTAAATAGCTTCAAAAAGTCTTTATCCTATCGACTATTAGCCGTACGAAAGGAGTATATCGTCTCCTCGTTATCGACGGACATAGCAGCTATCTTACGCCTTGATTTAACGAAATCTGCGCCCAAAATAATATCATCACGGTCTATATGCCGGCGCATTCATCTCACCTTTTACAATCTCTCGATATTGGCTATTTTAGGGTATTAAAGCGGGCTTATAGTGAAGTGGTTGAGTCCTAGACAAGGCTTAGCATACACCGCGTCGATAAAAATGACTTCTTAGAAGCATACAGAACGGCCCGAATCAAAGCATTCACAGAGTCTAATATTGTGAATAGCTTCGCCAGCGCTAGTATCAAGACATTCGACCCACAGCGCGTCATTTCAAAGCTTGATATTCGTCTACCTACCCCTCCAAGACCACTAAGCAATAGCAGCGATTCAAGCCGCAATTAGACTCCGAAAACGCCGCATACTATCAAGGAAGCGAAGAGACAGGCATCGTCTATTAAGAAGCTTGCTTCTAATAAGCCAGTACGTCTAGGAGAGGCTCTAGACCAGATAGAGAAAGGCTGCCAGCTCGCCATACATAGCTTCACGATCGCGAAGTAGCAAATTACCGATTTACTCGCCGCCAATGCGAAGACAACACGTAAAAAGCGGCGTACAAAGGCTCGAATAGCTAATAATAGTGCTCTATTATATCAGAAGCTATAGAGCGCATTGGTGGACTAGAACAGGTGGATGAAGCGGAATTCAACCAGGCTGGCAGCCCATCGCCGACGCCTAATCCGACCAATGAGAGGAGACCACAGCGATGCAGTCTCTGTAAAACGCCTGGACATAAGAGAAATCGGTGCCCAGAGAGGTCTGAATAGCTTCAATTTTAATGAATACAAATTCTGGTTGGAAAAATTGAATAACAATAGTAGATGTAATAGGTGGGGTGCGGCGCTCGCTTGGGTGCGGCGCTCGCTTGGGAAATACGTTATATAAGTAAGTATTGTTGGGGATTCATGATGTGGAGGAGACTGAGCGGAGGCAGCCAATAGGTTACGCATGATTCATCAGGCCTAGTATTACGAAGATCGGCAAGCGCCGCGTGTTCCTACTAGGCACGACTCTGTTCCCGAACCCTGGTCTTAGACGCTCGAGTCAGCGGTACGAGTCGAAGGGCCTAAGGCGACTCGTCAGGAACCTCTGATGTCTAGTAAGGTCCGAAAACATAGCGTAATGATCAGTATGGCAGAGGTACGAAAAGATGCCTTACTATCGAGCCTTGCCTATCAACCTGACCCTGGATGGACCCCAGGGAAGCACGAGGCTCTATTGAAGCAGCTGCGAAATGCAGAAGGAGAATTGTTGACAGATTGCCAATTCAAGCGCTGCCTTTGTTGGCTGGTTTCATGGAACCTCATGGAAGTTCTCCTCTTCTATTCTAGGACCATGAATCTTTTCTACTGGTATCTTGAACGAACTAGTAATATTACGCGGTATGTACAAAACCTGTCATTTACTCAATAACTACATCTGGATTAGCCCACCATGTGATTAGCGTTTGAAAGAGCATGCAGGTGTTTCTGATATAGAAGGCAATAAGGGCCGCGACTGTACGGTATGTCGTACGCCCCGTAGACCCAAACTGGGCGGTGTAAAAGTAAGGAGGAAGTATCTGCAGATATCAAGGCGTTCAAGGGTAAAAGGTCTGATCTCATTCGCGTTTATTCTACTAAGGACAAATAGAGATAAAAAACACAAAGTAAAAATGACAAAAACTAGAAACGTAGGATCAGCGAATCGAAATTCCGCAACATGAAGAACAAAGTAAAATAAGGGTAAAAAGTCACAGAAGAAACAAAGAAAAATGACCTGACCCACCTATGCGCCCGCGCGCCAGATAGTTGAGAAGGGAAATAATTAAAGAGTCATGAAGCTAGATCTTTTGTTAGGTAGCACATAACTGCTACTGCTATCACTGTTTAGCACAAGGAGAGAAAAGCTAGGGATAACCAGAGTGGTTTCTTTAAAAAAGTCGAACAGAAGAAAAGAATGGAAAAAAAAAGAATGAGGAAAAGAGAAAATAAACAAATGCTCCACAAATTTCCGCAGTGCGAATGCCAAGCCCTATATATTAACGCGTGTACTCTTATGTACAAAAGCGTATCAACATTGTTTTCTGCTGATATAGGAATTGGCGAGTAAGTCCACCACCGCTCTCTTGTTGGCCCATGTACCATTATAGCACCGTGGATCTAGACCAATATTCGCTGGCCAGTGTGTCCTTTTTGGCGTAGAAATAGAACAGGCTGACTGAGAACTATAGGGTCTTAATCAGTTGCATGCCATTCGCAGAGCAAATCCAAAAATGGAACCACATAAATAATCAAGTTTTCCAGATTACTAATCTACTAATATATATCTAGAAAGTATCAGATGCAGCTTAAATGCGCTGGTTGGGGTGAATTTCAGCAGAATTGTGATCACTTTTCATAATGGAACCCCGAGCCTCCCCAAATGACTACGCGTTATTCCATGACGATCTATCGAATGAAGTCAAACATAACCTACGCAAATGGCTGGACCTTTCGCCGGGTGAAGAGACACCAAAGGCATATCGCAATGCTTTAGAAGTTGCCGCGCACCTAGGTGATACTGCCATGGTCAAGAAATTGCTTGCCCCTGTGCAGTGCTCCCAGGAGAAGCCTCGTTATGGATATCCACTCCTACTCGCAACCCACTCAGGATGCGTCGAAACAGTGGAATTCCTTCTAACGAAGGGCGCAGACCTAACGGCCAGCATAAAGCGCACAGAGATTGAGGAGACACCCCTCGATATTGCGTGGAGTCAGAACGATCCGCAGATGTTGATGACGTTGGCAGATCATCTGATGAGACATGAATATAATAGTACACCAGAGGTTCATAAAGCGCTTGGCAAATGTGCCGAGCATAATGACAAAAACCGAGTCGAACGATTACTTGCAAATGGAGCTGACCCCAATTTCCAAACTAATGGCTGCAGTCCTGCCCTGGTATCTGCCGCCAATGGCGGTAGTGTAGCAATCAGTGGCATTCTATTGAAGGAAGGAGCTATTGTGGATTTAAGGTGTGATACGTCAGGTTGCGCCGCTCTTGAAGTCGCTGCTTGGAAAGAAAACGCCGAACTACTGAAATATTTACTGGAAAGCGGCGCCAAGCCAAACAGCCACAACGACGGAGGTCCCCTAATTGCTGCAGCAAAACGGGGAAAGCTTGAAATAGTGCAGGCTCTTGTAGAGAAAGGGGCCTGTGTGAATGTTGCAAACAGTAAAAGGGAAACGCCTATAGGAGTTGCCGCAAGCCTGGATAAGAAGGATGTGGTCGCATACCTGACACCTTTCGCAGATTTTGGGTTCGCTCTTAAAAGTGCCTTCGACGAGGGTTACTTTTATAGCCAGAATCAGCAGCACGTGAGCCGAGTCCATTCTTATACTGGAACGAAACACTGGCACCTGTTGTTGCAGTGCAATCTTGCAGTATTGAAGTACAAATCTGGTTCCGTAACAACTGACATAACGACCAGCTGGGCATTCATTTTCGTGTTGTGCTTTCTTTCGCAGCTGATATAGGTATATGAAACCTCTTCACTTAATACTGATGATGAGGCCAGCATGTTTGTGTCCTGCAAAGAGTGGTAATTCATGGCTTCTGGCATGCGTAACTCTATAACCGGAAAGTAGATTAGGTGTACAGAGAAAATTATCTAGTATCAGATATAACGTCTAACTGTAGTGGGCAAGCACAATAGAAAGAAAAAACTCAAAGCCACATCGGCTCCTTATGTGGCTAGCTAAGCCACTAAGAGTAAGAGGGTAGTCATATGGGGGTGGGTCCAGTAGGAATTGGCCCTTATGGGAATTCCTATAGGGCCTTAGTAATACGGACATGGGACTAGATTTTGGCTAGTCCCTTGGGAAATGTCAATGTCTAAATGAATTGCCAATTATGAACACCGCAGTGGAGATTTGTACGCTCGAGCGTGCTCATTGGCATGCCGCCAGTCACAGCCGCAATCAACATCTCTTAGTTTCAACGGTGCCCGGAAAAGCAGTCATTTGAGTGTGGAGCTACTTACGGCTATGCGCAGTTTACGATAAGTCTTCTAAAACCGAGACTGAGCATGCTTTGATAACGTTCTCCTACTTTAGTCGATATCGGTCATTCAAGCGGTCCATGACACTCTGTATTGGACGACGCGGGTTGGAAAACGTCTTCTCTATTACGAATTTTCCCATTCTTTTCTTGGTCAAAAGACACGCTGAAAACAGAAGATATCAGCGCAAGGACAGGTTCCATCAGAATGAAGGTGGATTTCTCAGTCTGCATAAGAGTTTTTCATGTGAGCTTGCCCTGCTACATCATCCCTCGTAAGGTCCAAGACTTTGGGTCGACTCTCACCGTAAGGCGATATCACTACATTGGCCAACCTCAAATCAGATGTGCCACTCCGACCAGGAATCACTCTTCTCAACGTAACTCTTGATTTCGCTGACAGTCAATTCCAAGCCCTCCAGTTCCAAGGTCAGAAATGTTCGGGTATATTCCTGTTCTACTCAGTCTCGTCGCACGTCAATCCTGTATCACCTCTCCATGTTATTCGCAAATTGCGAGTGTAGGCCATCGTCGTCACCTACAAATCCTTGTCGTCTAGCTTGAAGTAGCCTCGCAAAAAAGCCAAATCCTCTGGAGGGGTTCGACCATCCGCCGGACCTGGTCTTTGACTATTAAGTAAGATTGCCAGGCTGAACATGTGTGTATATAGCTATGGCCGACGCAGTATAGCCTTACCGTCGTTAGATTCCGACAACACAGATAAGCACCCCATCCAAGTGTGAGAACACCCCCATGAGCAATAGCCACGGCCACTCCGGCGACCAAAGGAATGGCGATTTTCACACCGATGTATGCAATCCCACTACCGAAAATAGTAGTGGACAGCCTTTCCTAGCCAGATATTTGGCTTTTCTGCGATCTTCTTCATCAAGGGATAACCGGTATAAAAGACTTGTTTGTGCAACGCAATGGGTTGCATGGTCAACTATGTTGGCCAATTCTTGGTCATCGGTTCCGTCTCGGTGTTGAGGTCAGCGAGGTTCTTAGGTTAAGGAGTCGATTGCATACCATGGAGAGACTTGATTGCTATTTGAAGTTGTTCTGTGGCAAATACGAAATGCCTATAAATAAACAGGACATCGAGAACTTTCCTGGGCTTTAATTGCTCCTATTGATCGGGTCATGACAACATTTTTCTCCTTACAAGTCAATACCCACAACATCTTCAATCTAGGCTCGCTGGCCTTGATGCAATTTCAGAACACCTAGCCCTCCCTCTAGAGTGGCAATATCTCCGTTCGTGGCATCGGTTTGAAGACAATTGCAGACAGCTTGTTGTGTGGAATTGGCCCTTCGGAGGGAATCAGCGGTTAGTATCTGGTATCGAACAATTGCTCCAAGTTACACGCGCCTTTCTGAAGAAAAGAGCCACCCACTAGCAACAGTAGCCAACTTTAATTGCTCCCTGTCACATAGCCCCTCAAATAAAACCTGGGAGAACACTGACTGGAAAAACCGGTCTGCGACCTGAAAATGGATTCGGGACTCACAACATCCAGTATCGCGTATTCTGACTCATTGTGCCCGCTATCAGTCACATAATTGATGAGACTGTTCAAGTGGCTGAAAGCAACATCGGAAGTGGGGATAGACACCTTAAATGACGATTGAAGGTAGTTCCAAAGAATGGGAAAGCGGAAAATAGTTGCATTTAGCGCGATCGATTTATCTAGCTCGGTTGTTGAGGGACACACAAGGATCCAGCTGCGCAGATTCCACATTCAGGCCAAAATCCATGCCCGCTATGTTCGCGCTGTCGTTGTTCATCCGCTTATATTATTCAATGCGGAAGGTGAATGGACAAACTGAGCATACCTGTGCCAATCGAGACTTCGAGTTTCTATGAGCTCCCCAGGCATGGTTAAGCTCACAATGTATGTAGATACTATGAAATAGCATATTTCAGACAATGTATTGCTTGATTCCATCAAGTGGAGAGATTTGCAATGGCGAGAACTTGATTAATACTAACCGAGTGGATTCTCTGACTGAGCAAAACATCACCCATACGTTGAATCACTATGATTACTATTTGGTTCTTTGGAATCAGCTACCAATTCGACTCTGAACCTGGTTACGACGTCCAACGGCAACTCTATTGATTTGTTCAAGGATCATGTAAAGGGGAAGGATTGGTAACAAATCAGGCTTGATAGTCGTATTCCGCGAGGTAGAAAATATATGCCAGATTCTATTGTGAGTCAATAGAGACGAGGAACCGCGGATAGCGGAACTACGCACGAATTTAGCACAATCTTTATACTAGGTAAATGAACCGTGTGTAGAATATGATAAATATGATGTTTGATTCTATGGATTTAAATGAGTATCCGGTGGTGACCTTGGCACAACAAGACTTTACTACGTCATGGAAGACCGCAGTCCAGAAACCACAAAATGGAAGTAACAACCAGCTACACTCCTAGGCAAGGACTGAGCTGGTAGGCACATATGCCTCCATGGTCCTGCTCGTCAATCGAGTTTCAAGAAGGCATGCCGGTCTCTGTTACCGTCCTTGCCACAACTTTGTTTTCATGCAGCGTTGATTCCATCCCGTATCATAACAGCCGACGTCTCCCACAGTTGTTCTACGTTGATCTCATCTTCAGGTTATCAGGGTTGATCGCCATGGAGGATCCACAAGACGTGAGCTTTACTGGGAGAATTCTATGCCCAGACTGCGCGGCTAATGCAATAGTACAGCGAAGCATCAAAAATCCCAAGAAACAGACCGCAGCTCAGCGAGGCGGGGCGCCTGGTTTCTGCCACGTCGCCAGAGGATTGGCATCAACTCGTGTTGGCCGCAAAGTTCACCAAAGGAGCCTCGAGTGGCTGTCACCGTAACCGATATATGGAAACACATAGGAAAGCAAGCAATCTGGAATATTCGGATTATTCCTTGTATATTTTACTTTATTTATGGATTTATTTATATAATGGGGGATCCTCGAGTTCAGAACGTTACCATTATCTTTTTTCATTTAGTTCAAGTATATGAAATCTATTTGCTATGAGCTCAGTGCAACAAAAATCGACGATCGAAACTTTACGGGAGGTAATGGTACCCGGACAGGTATTCAAGTACGATCCTGACGATGGTGAATTGAAACTCTTACACGATCAACCACCGAGAAGCGGCGAATCGCAAGACGGAGAGGATCCTATTCAGCAGATGATTCTTAGCATGGTGCAGAACGAAAAATTATGTATGCAGATACAAATCGTTGTTGATGGATGGCGCGAAGTTTTCATGGTCGTTGGTCAGAATCGATGTATGAAGATCGAATTTAAGATTGTTGATAGCTACGTCCCAGCTGAAGTGCCATGGAAAGCTTCGGCATGGGGTATATACCCGACTGTGAGCCGTATCTTGAGTGGAAAGCCGCGGGCGCGTGGTTAAACCCCACGACCAACCAAAAGTTCTCCACCGTGCCTTAGTCAGTTGGACTCGAATACTTCCGAATTTGAAATGCTAGGGTATTTTGACGTTTCTGTATAATCACCCCTGCGCGAGTGCGTTTTCCATTTTTGGGTTGGAGGCAACGCATCGGCAGGTGCCATTCCTGCTCTGACTTGACAGGCATATTGGTTCAGGGCATCACATTCTTTAGGAGAAGGGAACATTTGAATAATTCGTAGGCCATTGACATACTGTATATGCTTCGTATTTCCGTCGAGTTTTGCCTAGATTAGACGTATTTGATACAGTACAGGGCCGTTACATCTCTTATGTACTGTATTACACCGTGCTGATCAGGCGTGGACCAGGATCACCTAGGATCAACAATAAACAACAGGACTAGACTTATTGCTCGCTCCGCCATCACAGGCATCTAGAACATATACAACATATACAACATATATTAGATATACGATATGATATTTCCAGGAGGATCATACAGTAATACCCAGGTTGAGCTTCATTGAGGCAGTATCAGGCTGAATTACGGGCGACCGGGCAACACTCTCCCTGCCGTGCTGTTTGTCTCGGGATCCGTAGCATATCAAAGCAAATACTGTACCTGATGATGCGAGCCTTCTCTCTGGTTATGGAATTTGGTGGCCGTTCTGCTCTCACGACACGAATGAAGGAGTTCGGATTCAGCAAGAGGCTCATTAGGGCCGAGATTTTGAAGGTGTCAAACGAGTGGCGCAGTTATCCGCCATTATTGAACCAAACAGCCGAGCCGAAAACCTTCGTGAAAGAGAAGACAATTGGCCTAGAGCACTTATTGTGCCTCTTACGCTACAGCAGCAGACAACAACTGTCGGCGGTGTGCCCGACCATGACTGTCTTTTGATACTTACAAACCTGCTGGCACGTTTACGGGGCCCGGGCGAAAGAGACACCCACCGAGGCCGAAGACGACATGATGGTCGACGCAGGTTTCTCCTCCAATTCGATATCCATCTACATCGCTATGCAGACAGATTTAGCATGCCGCAGATCTAGGTAAATACTTCACGATATGCCTGCGTTACTGGATCGGCAGCTACGGTAGGCAGCCTCCACTATTTGTCGTAAGAATGTTGGAACATGAGCAAAGCCCTGCAAAGCCCTGCAAAGCCCTGCATGATCTCTCCAGGCCTATTTCTCTAAATTATCTCATAAAAGAGATGCGTATCGTCAAATGTCTACTTAGAATAGCAGATAGAGCTGTTTCTAAGATCAGAGCGTTCGAACGATGGAGCGTCCTGGAGCGGGATTGATTTGTGCATGGGCCGCATTCCACGAAGGTAAGGGACGACGATGGCTTTATTTAGCGAAGAATGGGGCTGGCGCTATTTAGCAAGGAAAACGAGTATTTTTATAATTAAACCGCAAGTATGTCGATGTGAAATCGATTTCCAGAAATATTGAATCAATTTTATTAAACATGCTGCTAGCGTCTTCCAAGGTCTTTCAGTATTAAACATTAACAGATCCCTATCTACGATGGCATGTATCGATACCCAGCCGCTTGAAACTTTGATTTTTGAAGGTCTTCGACAATTTGTGGCTGAGAACGATGAATCACCCCAATCAGTCAGCGCAGCCTCCGAAGTTGTCCACTCCTTGTCATTGGCGCTGAAAAATACCGGGCTATTTCTTCAAAACTTGCATCCTTCCAGTTTTTCGAGTCAACTACAAGATTCACTTGATTGGATAAATTGTCTGAAACCAAACTGAAAGCAAGTTTCGAAGGCTGACGAGTGTTTTAGTATATCAATTTATGGCAACGCAGCGTATTAAGAATCCATACCCCTTATTCTTACAAAGGGCCCATATGTATGGTGAATTATTTCCCCGATTCGTTGATTGCATGACTGAAGAATATTGTGATTCATTTGCATCAGATGCTCATGCCATGGAAGAATGGCAAGGCGAAAGTGAAATCATCGCGCCTATCATGGGAATGGAAGAAAGCCTTTCCACAATGGCAGGATTGGCGGAAGAAGTTGGAAGACACCTCTTGAAAACGCAAATCAATAGAGGAAAAACGACCATGGACGGGTCCTACTACCTCTCTCGCTTTGCATCTCTTAGCGGAGACATGAGGTGGACGCTACACACGTCATTCCGCAAGCACAGTCGTCAAAGTGCTGGCCAAGAGAGCGGCATGGCGATTTTTGACACAGCAATTCTTATGGAATGTGGAGCGCAGGTATTCAGGGTCAGCGATCTGCTCCTTTTCCTTGGCAAGCAACCTCGATACGGCGGCTCTGCTATCACAGAATTGGCGAAGGTCTGGGCTACGAATGCCGATGAATATATCTGTTGGGACGTGATCCCAAAGCAGGCGCTTGTCAATTTCATTTCATGCGATACCATGACTGATGGCCTTGCGCCCGAACGCATGTTTTTGAGGTCTGAATTCAGGGAAACTCAGTCATTGGCTCTCTTTAAGCAAAAAGATCGGGTTCTACTATCGCCCGACGACTACGTTTGCCGAATATCCTTATTCTTATGCGATATTATGCGTGAAATATCTCCAACCACTAAAGGTGTCCACTTGATTGAACACCTGTTTGCTACCCTGCATGATCCCTACCCTTGGGGGTATCATGTTGCCGGCGATAAAAATTACATGGAGAGAAAGTTATTGGCTGTGGTTAACGCGGAGTACTCATGTGGAATTGGCTCATGGATGTTCAGCGGCAAATTTTCTATCGATCTGCAGCATTGCGAAGATTTGCGAAAGGAGTATTTACTCAAAGCGGAAAGATTGCTTGCTGAGTTTAACATGCATTGAATTGTGTAGATGTTTGCCTCGCATGCGCACGAATGCCAAAGTTAATTGTATATTTCCAATGACCTACGCCCCTGACATGTGTTCTATTCCATGGGAGTGTGGGTATCTTATGCTCGTGTGATTCCTAGACCTGTTCCGATCAAAATGGGAGGCATAGTGCCGTTATCTAAACTGGTATTCGTACTCCATTTACGCGGTATACGGCTAACGGAACGTGGTTGGGGTCTATTGGTGAAGCAAGGTCGAAGGATTTTTGGTTGTTATTCTAGACGTGCTATATTGTCGGAAGGCCAATTCGAGCTACGACTGGCAAGCAGTAGAGCTTCGGGAAAAACAAAACAATTGGTACAGTGGCGGTACGTATATTTCTGAGGTGAGAAGAGAGGATTTGAAATTGAGGGGAAGGTTAGAAAGAAAGAAGATATATCAGCACACATACATAATGACCGCTATTGAAAGTATTTCGATTTCCGAATTGTCGGTTCGGTTCTTCTGGCAGCGATCACGGACCACCTTAGTACTTAGCTCACTAAGTAACAGGAATATCCTGTATAGCTAGGGAAATACAATGGATGTACTAGGCGATTGGCGCAACGGAATCAAAAAGGGGAACTACCCAAAATGATGAGATCAAAAGAGTGTTGATTCCTGTCTCCTATCTACTGGGATCGAGGGGGTTAAAATAGCCTCGAGAATACCTGGTATCGAATCCTCTAGAATCCCAGAGGTACCGTTTGGGTCAATACGATGCTGATCACCATTTTCCTGACAGAGTCTAAAAGTGAAGAGAGTCGATCCGGCTGAAGTTCAGGGAAGCAGGACCAACGGGTGGGATTATAGTTAATATAGTATGGCGTGAAGGGAACGATCCTCCCTTCTTGCATATAAGAGTCTTTCACAATTCGCTTGGACAGTTACAGTGTTTCGATGGGGAAGAACTTGTGATGCATGCCTTAGTCCTCACTGGTGGCTGGCTAGCTGCTTTGGGGCGCTTGTTAATTTAGAACTCTCACGAGGGTACCGGCAAGAATCCGCAATTAAGCCAGGGGTAATGGTACAAAAATAACATCTCATTGAGCTAACCGGGATTGGTTGCCAGGATGCTTACTTTGCTGCATCCAGTATGGGGCTTTCATGGAACTACTGGACAGTGCATATCCATTTCGATACAAGCGCTTTCAAAAAGTAAAAATTACCATCTATTCTAACCATTGCTACACTGGCACAAATGGAGACGGATGAGATATTTTGGCCCGCACGGGGCACCTGCGGTCTGAACACTGGCGATGTAGGCCTCGTTGACGGAGGGCTACAGCGCCGTGAGGGCTGCAGGCGGGCCCAAATGACCCGGTGGGCCAAAAGAGGATGGTGGAGGGGCTGGTGGTATGGAAGATGAGACCGGCGTTGGATGACCGGTCTGGAATTGACGGTTCCAGGCGTACAGTGTTGTCGTAGGTGTTGTGAAGTAAAGGCGGAAGGCTTCGGATGACCATCTCCCGAGGGCTTGGATGTGGTCATTTCTTAAGCCTGCGTTGTGGGCGTGCTGTGCTGCCCCTTTTCTGAAACTGTGACCCTTAAGGTGGTATCTTCCCCGGCGCGGTTGAGCTTAGAGATAACCGCACGTTGGAAGGCGGATGAGGTGAAGGGGCCAGAGGAGAGCGTAAACAAGGGGGCAGACATAGGCTGTGAGTCGTGGAGGAATAGCTTAGAAAGGCCTTCGACGGGGCAGGCTGCGTCGTTTGTTGCTGCAAGGACAACATTGACACCTTCGTGGTTTCGGTCGGTCTTGCTTCTCTTCAAGGTAAGGAGGACGTGGTCCATGGTGGGGGAGAACCTGATATCCGCCCGGGTTAACTTAGTAGCAGCGAAGACTTGAGTGTTTCTAAGGTCGGCAGCTGAGTATGTAAATTCCCCGACCCGAAGGAATCCAGCGAAGGCAACGCGGGCGGCCACGGCAAGATTAAGGTCATTTTTCTGGGCCGCTGAGAGCCCCAGCGGTTGGGCAGGGATATGTGAGATATTCCCTGAAAGGGTTATGACTGAGGCGCGTGAGATTGGGTTGCGAATCCGCTTTTGGCGGGGCGGTTGCAGCCGACGAGCGCCATCGATCATGCGACGAAAATGCTTTGCGTGGAGGTCAAAAATTGTGTCAGGTGACCGTTATCGATGTGATACGCGCGGAGAGCCGAGAGCTCAGACATAGCTGAATCGGGCTTCACAGGTGGGGAACTACCCGCGCCCAGCAGGCGTTCCGTAAGCCAAGTGCAGATCGACGGGGCAGTGGCTGGCCAGGGCTGCACTCCGATAATAGCGCAGCTACGGGTGTACGAGCGCTGCGCAGAGCGATAGCCTCTTCTGGTTCCCTCTGCAAGGCCATTCCAGACCAACTTTGCATGGCCAGCATTCACGAAAATAGGCTGTCGAGAGAACCAGGCTGGCGGAGCAAGGGAAAGGAGCTCGTCCACTGTGGGCAAATATCAGCGATGATCCTATAATCGGAACGGGACAGTGCATCAGCTAGTAGGTTCTCCGATGAAGGAAGCCAGTGTGGCTGGACTTCGATGTCAAGGGCGGCTGCTATGCTGAAAAGCATGAGCAGAGAGCGATGAGCCGGCCCACGGAGTGCCTGCTTAGACAGGCCATGAAACGCGACGGCGCTGTCCGTGAAAGCGAGGACACGATGATGAGCCCAATGGGGGCTGTGTATGAGGAAGGCCTGCAGGATCGCAGAGACCTCCTTAATGTTAATGTGGGCCACGTCGCCGCAGGCGGAGGAGGCGTCCACAATAGCCGCATGGGTGGAAGGCAGGTGAGGCGCTGCAGACATCCAGTCCCTGGCGGAGTCCCATGAGGGCGCATAGAAGAAGAAGAGGCCCAGACCTGAGTCGCACGCGTCTGTGTAGAGGGCAACTAGGGGGCGGCTCTTCTCGAAGAAATGGATGCCGTTAAATAACGGGAGAGTGTCCCTCCACCACGCGAGATCCCCGCGGCTATCATGGGATAGGCGGCGGACGGAGCGCTGGTGAGGCGGGAAGGATGCGAGATCGCTGTAGAGCGACTGAAGGCGGGCTCTGCCGAGACGGATAACTATTGAGCAGTGTTGGAGGAAACCGACTACACGTTGCAAAGCTTTATGCGAGACACGATCTAGCTGTAGTAGCGACGCGGCTTCGGAAGATGCGCGTGCTAGCTTATCGCGAGGCATACGGGCCTGCAGAAGTGTCGTGTCGATTTTGACCCCAAGGACACTGACCACGGTACCCGCGGCGTCTTTCGAGTCATTCCATGGGATGCCTAACGCATCCGTGAGAGGAATATATGCGCTATTGAAAGCGGTAAGGGCTTTAGAGAGACCTCCCACGGAGGAAGGAAAAATAACGATGAAATCGTCAAGGTAATGAGCGATAGAGGCCAACGGCAAGTAAGCGGTTAGGAGCCAGTTAAGGCCCTCAGCAAAAAGGTTAAAGATGAAGGGTGCCGTTGAAAGGCCGAATGGGAGGCAGCACTCCATGTATGTCTTGCTATCCCATGAGAAGGCTAGGAGGGGCCGGTCAGCGGGGGCGACTGGGATATTACGGAAGGCATCCTTGATGTCGCGTTTGATGATATAGCATCCTCGTCCAGACGTGCGTATGAGATCGAAGATGTTATCCATAGATATGTATTGTATAGTAGAAGCAGCGTCGGGGATGGACTCGTTGACACTGCGACCCGGCGGGTAGGAAAGATCATGGATACGGCGCCAGCTCCCGTCGTGTTTAGGCACCAGCCCTAGTGGGGAAACAACGACGGGGCCAGTAGATGGTTGCACCCGACGACATAATAGGTCATCAGAGAGCTTCTGGGTGATAAGAGAGTGTTCCTCGATGCGGTGATTAGGAGTTCGACGGTATCTTGGCTGGATCGTACAACCGAGGCGGCAGCCGAATGTAAGGATGCCGCTGCAGATAGTCCCTAGGTTGCCAGGATAGCGTTCGAGGAGGGTTTTCCACGCCGAAGCAATGAAGGGAGAAGCGGAATCACGCAGAGGCGGGAGGGAAGGGTCGAAGACCTCAAACTGAATAGAAGTGTTGGGACGCGGGGCTGGCCAGCTAGTTGGTGGCGACAGGGTTTGACCTATACCAGGGCCGACCCCGGCGTGCTCCTAACTCACTGGTTTTACTTTGCAGCTTGTCACGGAATGGTCGTTGCCGCACTTAGAGCAGACGTGTCTTCGGTGGCATGTTCGCCAGTGGCAGCCAGCAGAAGAGTTGAATTTTTCACAAATGACAGTGTCATTATTTGGCGCAGCGGTAGAGCGCGTTGACCGTGTGGTTGGGGTAGCCGGCGCTGTCTTTGCTGGGAGCACGTTGTCCGGGCGAAGGTAGGAGCTTTCGAGGGCTTTCCCAATTTCCCAATCGCTAAGAGAAACGGTGAGGTCGCCTTTATCGACGACCATCTGGTGGTGGTCCAGGGCCATTTGCAGGATACAGTCCTGCCATTTATATGCCCTAGCAAGGTCACAAATGCGGCGGTGGAAGAGAACCATTCCACTGATGCATAACGGGTGCTTAGCAGCGAAGAAATCACACCAGACAGCGACGTAATTGCTAAAGCAATGGGCCCAGAGGGATGCGTCATTTCCCCAGTCCTTAATTGAGACTACCTTGCGGAATTGCAGGCCAGATGATGTGGATTTTAAGTCGAAAGACTCGCCATCCGGTGCCGAGGCTTTGAACTCAGGGCTACGGAGTTTTATGAGGTCCTTCTTTGGTCGGAAGGTGTGCTCGAAAACGGCTATAATAGCAGCACGGTCGAGGCCGGGGAAACGGGGAAGGACTGGCAAAACAAGAGACGGGACCCTACCGTCGTCAGCATCCTCTTCCGCAGTGAGGTCTAAACGTGGGCGCTTGCGCTGCCCGTCGCCCGCAACAAGGGACGCGGACACAGTAGAGATGAATGAGTCCTGCTGGGAGTCGGAGAGGGAATTCCATATGTACTCTGGTGGATAGATCGAGGAG